TCGTACTATTAGCAGATCGTTTTTGGGGGGGGGGGGGGAAGGCATACATAGCAAGCGTTTCTTCTCAAAGAAACCACCTGTTGAAGGCCAATTGATTGCTAGAACCAATGGGTGAACTTACTTATAGTATAGACGAAGGGGAGTTAACGCACGTTTTTTTCGAAGTGTTTCTTTAAGGTTATCATAGAAGCGTGCGATGTTGCATTTGCGGCGTGCAACAATGTTATATTTGCGCGGCAGTGTAGTCACTTACATATAGGATGTCTGGAAAGCACTGGGAATTATATATGAATGTATAGCGATTACTCGTGATGGTATATGCGTAGTAGGGGAATGATTGAGGTATGCATATGATAGTGGTGTGCCTGTTGGAGGATTGAACTCAGAAGGGAGGTGGATAATGTGGGGGAGTGTGTGGTGGTAGTGGTGATGGGGAAGCGTTAGTATGTTTCACTGCGAGGAGTTACGGATGGCGGATATAGCGCAGATATGGGTGGTCTTGTTAGCGAGGGAATCGACCCTAGCTTGGCAACTGGATAGATCATCCTGGTACGTGTGTAGTGGGTGTGTGTAAACACGGCCACCCCGTAAATACGGCAAACAAGAACATCACATCTGTCATATCGCGACAGGTTAGTAGCAGTTTAAACATAGTGGGTGTTTTAGCCATCAACTCATTTGTGAGGATGCAAGAAGGGTTTGTGATTTAGATTATGGGGGAGCATTTTAGTAATTAGAGTTAGTAATTAAGGTTAGCGATGCCATTGGGGGGGGGCACGTCCTGAAGCGCGCTTTTCGCCGCTTAGCACCCATTGCAGCTCATCAGAGGGATGTAGCTCCACGTTAGTTTGTAGGTCAGGGAGGTTAGGGGGAGGTGAGGGAAGAGGGGGCTTGGGGAAGGTTAGGGGTATGTTCGAGTGAACCATATCTGTGAGCGGAATGCCTGTGAAGACGACATCTCTTCAACGAACGCCATTCTCCCTCTGTGTGTTAGGCCGCTTGTAGAACGCAATGGAGCGCAGCGATGGCAGAAGGGGATTAAAGAGTGTTAGCGATGGCACTGTAGGTGCGAGCATTAGGTCGCTCGTGCTTGTTCGGCACGTGAGCGTAGGCGAGGAAGGCAGAGTATGATGTAGTGTTGCGGAGAGGTGAACGTGGGAGGGGGAGCGAGCGTCGAGCATTGCAAGTTTACCTTGTTGTAGATGTTGTTTGCAGTGGTAGTATGTATATTATATATTGAGAGTATAGTGGTTCGTATTTCTTTGACGTATGGTGAGTGGGTATGATATAATCAGGGTGTGTGCGTATTTAGTGGGGAGGCCATAGCTGTAGTAAATCCGAGGGGGGTTGGGGTGATTGTGTGTGATTTCTTCATGCAACAAGGGGTAGTGCGGGTAGTATGCCC